AATAGTCTTCTCTTAGCAGAAGAAATGAATGTTAAATGGAAAGCAGAATAGTGTCTAATACTGAATGGTCTCTACAAGATAGATACAACTTACATTTCAAATCTGTGGAGAAGATCTAAATGAAGAATACTTACAAGGTACTAGATATGCCCTTCATTTCCCAGGACTAAGCAAAATTTTATTACCTTGCTGTACAGTCTATAATTCAAAGGCTAAAATGGAATTGATATGGGGCTATCATCACAGCCTCTCTATGAAGGTTTTTGGGACATCCCATGTTGCAAGTGTCTGGACAACCATGCTGTTACAGGAACAATACGATATGGAGAAAAGAAACTGCCCTGGAGAAACTGTAGCCCCCTGTATGGGACTGTTGGGCCCTTTGGGACATGTGGCTTCAGAGATGGGCAGTCAGCATCTCCCACTCAGTTGGTGAGCTTACAGACATTTGGAGCAGGCCGATTAGCATTGTGACCGTGCTGGCAAAGGTGGAGCCTTGCTTTAGGATAGGAGGGGAGCAGTGTAGGAGCACCCTGTGCTGTGATCCAGTCCAGGGGCATATGAAAGAGAACATGCCAATCCAGGTCCAGCACCACACAAGGGCAGGATGTGGCTGAGGTGGAGCTGTTCTATGTTAAAACTGAGCTGCCCCTTAGAAACCTTACAGTGAGGCAGGAGAGAAGTGGGGTAGTCCTCTGGGCTTAACTCTGCTTTTAGCTGGGAATGATAAACTGGGGCTGGTCTCAGGTGATCATAGGTGGTTGAGATGGCTCTGAGTCAAATGCCTGTTCTATACTTGGTTTGCTTAATACGTCAAGCTTAGCAATGTCAAGTGGCTTGACACTGAATAGAAATGTCCTGTTATTTTGGTGTGTGTTTTCCATTACTAACCTCAGTCACCAGAATGAGGGCCTACTAAGGCAGGCCTATCAGATGCTATGTAGGAAAACACTCCTGGCATTGAATTGGGCTTTGTAATCTGAAATTGCCAGCAAGCCTCTCACAAACAAATAGGTTTGGGCAGCAACAAAAGCCATAGGCCCTTTAGAAGTAAGAATGTCTATGAAACTGAGTTGGTTTTAAACTTCAGATTCAAGATCCAATTTTAAGGATTTTAAGTTTATAATGAAAGCCTAATGGTATTTTATAAATACCTTTCCCTTAAGCAAAAAGTTTGGAACTCTCCAAAACACCTGTTTATGCAAATTATCATCTTTACCATGCTTTCCTTTGTCTGTAGTATCAGATCTTCAAATTGGTGGCTGAACAGAGAGGGAGATGTCGAACATACCCTGCTTGCATCACAAATGATGGAATGGAAAACAAAATTTTCTGTCAATCTTGGATCTCGAACTAGCGCCTCTGTGGAGATAAATCTGATGTTAAAGACAAGACGTCTCAAAGAATTTGTTTCTTTGTAATAATAAGCAATAATAAGAACGAAATTATGTCAGATAACTTCTAAAGATACACCCGCCACCTTGTAAAAGATTCACAGAAGAACTGGAAATGTGAGAAGAGCCCAAAGATGGATTAAGTATGCCAGGAGAGAAAAGAGTATTATTGTACAGTTATAGCAGAATTGATGCAAATCAGACCATCTAAACAAGGAAAATCTTGTTCAAGATCAAATTGTGTGGTCAGTACATATTTTAAGCACATCTGATCAATTTTAGCTGGGTGCTGTGTGACTGATTGATCCTGCATGGTGGGAGAAAATTAACACCATATTTCATTCCCTCTGTAATACAGCTGCTATCTTATTACTGTTTTCTTAGAAAGAAAGAAAAAGAGTCCTGCAAAAGTAGTTGCTATTACTGTTCTTGGTTTGCTTCTGTAATCTTATCTACAGTTCTACTGAACCTAGACAGCTCATTTCAACTTTACTTTTTATATATATGTATAACAATTATTACAGAGCTTTTGTAAATCTTTATTAAGAAATCAAATATTAACAAATCAGAGATTTAAATTAGTTAAACTGAGTATATATCTCAAGTGTATTTCCCCCCACCAAGAACTCCAGTTAGCAATCATTTAGGGTATGATTGAGTATATCTAACTTGAACAATGAAAAAATGAAAGCTAAACAATTACACCAAGAGGAGTTGAAAAGAACTGTTAAATGTGGATGCTAGATGTGTTGCCTGAGCTACAGCTGACTGAGCTCTAATCAGATCCATGGGCTTTTCTACCTTAGTCATTAAAACCTCTTAGTCAGGTCACTGTTGAAAGTGGCTTCTCCTCAGAAATACTGATATATCAATTAAAAAGTTAAATCAAATTTAACATCCAGTCCATCTAGTCCATGCACAACAGCTTCTGCATGGGCAGTGTGGAGCTTACAGACATCATACACATGCAGGTTCTTGCCTGTTACCTCTGGAAATACCTTGCATTCCACTCATCTACAACATTAGCCTAGTCTCAGTTCTCAGTGCTAGATGACTGGTGCAGTTGGGCTAGTCAATGGCACTTAGTAATTTCAGTAAATGCTGGAGAATGGGGAGAGACATTAGGTAGATAGATACACTGGTTTTGTTTCTTTATGTCATGATTTGTCTTAATGCTCCTTTCTTTTCTAAAAATGATTATAACATGGTCATTCTTTCTTATGATGCCCACTGTGCCCACATTCTTAGTCAGATCTTTTCTAGTAGTTATAATTAAATAGTACATTTGCCTCCAGCTCTTTTCTCCATCTTCTTCAGAGTGCTTCAAGGCATTTCCAGAATTTTCTGGGTAGTCTGTGCCCTTCTGTACTGCTTTATCATCAAAATGATAATTGAAATTTCCCATTAGTATGAAGTTCTCATGCTTTTGATAAGTCCTTTAGTCACCCAGAGAAAGACTAATCTCTATTATCTTCTTAATTTACAGCCTACAATAGTCCCCTTCATGACATCAATATTGCTTTTACTGAGAAATGTTTAGTCACTCTAGCATCTGATAGCCCTTCTGGACTAAGAATAAACATGCACATCCTTGAAATAACCTTTTGGTCTTAGCTATCTTTCCTGAACAGACCATACTTGTCTGTATGAACTACCCAACCAAACCCCTCTCATGCCAATTAAGACATTATTTCGAGTATGATTTGAGACATCTAGCCATTCCTGTTTCCTATCTTCTTGCACCTGTGTAAAAAAATAGTTACAGTGTGTATGTGTGTATATATATATGATAGTATATAATGTTCAGTATATATGTTCAGTATATAATCAACAAAATTAGCATATAATGAATATATATTTGCATATAATAAACTAAAATGCTTCTGCTTACCTGTCTCAATACCACATCAAGAAAATAAAGCTCCCCAAGGCTGGAGGCAGCACAACTTCCCTGTGTTCTGGCCCCATTGTTGGGTTGCCCTTGTGACCAAAAGGCTTCTTCGTATCTCCTGCCTGAGCCTTTGGTGTCCCACCTATCAATCACCTTTATTTCTCATCCTCTTCCTATGTAATGCTGTGAAAAGCCTGCCTCCTTGATGATCTCTTCATAGATAGCAGGGGGCTGTGTCATGGGGCATTGATCCTTCAGTTACCTATTCAGGTCAACTAATTTAGTTTAGCTGTGCTCTAAGTTTATGGTTAAATATAGGCTCAAAGGAAAAATTCTAGAGATTTTTAGATGCTTCAAGTCTGAAAGAAAGACTTGTTAAGCCAAGTTGGGAACACTGGTGAATGTTCACTTATGTATACTTCCATGCAAAAGGATTATGCTATGAGCGGGACAGGTGCTTTTTTCAAGCCCAAGTCACTGTGATAAGCAAGCTTTGAATTTAGAATAGGTACGCGGCTGTGACCATAGCTGGAGTCAATATTTTACCATACTCTCTCCTGACTGATAATGACTTTTAGCTTCAAATATGGCCTATGTGGCCTGGGACCCTGTGCAAGCTCAAACCCAGCTCACCGACAAATCTTGAGATGGTTGCTGTCGCCCGAGTAAAGTTTTGGCCAAGCATGGAACCACAATAAGAGAAAAAGCTTGTGTGTGCTTGAACACAGACTGACAAAGCTGTATCTGCTAAGGGTCTGCCAAAAGGAGAGTCTGAGGGGGACAGCAAGAAAGTGGAACCTGTGCTTCCTCCTATAAATTTTTGAAAGATTCCCAGGAATTGTAGGGTAGTCTAAAAAAACCCTTGAAAAGTAGACATGTAGACATTAAACAATGAGGTTTCAATGAATAAAAAGTCCTTTCCAGGATGAGTGTACCTCTTTGAAGGTGTTTCTCTGTTCCACACCTCCAAGAGGCAACACAGACAAAGAACTGAGGGATACAGAGGAAGTTGTATCTATACACTCTTCAGTGCTGGGCTGAAAGTTTTCAAATGCAAAGCTGCGAATGCTTCTCTTTAAACCTTGGTTTATATTTTGCAGGCTCATCAACCTTATGCAAAAGAGATACACACACATGGTTCTCCCTCTCTCGTGCAGCATTCAGCAAGTGTGGAAGAGACCCAGGAGACCTAGTGCTGGGACATGTAAGATAAATTTGGTAATGTAGGAAGTCTGACAAGGTATGGAAAGTACCAGACTTCTCTGAAACAGAAGTGGAGCAGCACTGCTACAAACCCCAAGAGGTTGAGAAGAGTGGTTGTTCAGGTAACTTGGCACACATTGTTCCTGGTATCAGGCCTAGAAGGATCTGAAGCATGTATCTTCCCACCCCCCCAAACCAGCAATGCGTCCTTGCTGTCATCAACTCATAAAACACACCAGCCTCTTACTTACATTACTGAAAGACTCCAAGACCAAGACATTTGAGCAGGACAGGAATGTTTTGCAGCTGTTTAGCTGGAAGATGAGAGCATAGTGTTCAAGGTGAGGTTGGATGGGGCTTTGAGCAACCTGGCCCGGTGGAAGGTGTCCCTGCACATGGCAAGGGGGTTGGAACTGGATGAGCTTTAAGGTCCCTTCCAACCCAAACCATTCTGTGATTCTATGATAGTGAACACTCACTCTGCCCTGTTTTTTTAATTTAAAAAGAAAAGGATTGTTAGATGCCTGGTTATTGGAAAATAGTAGTGTCTTAGGAAAAGGAATAAAGTGATGCAATAATTTCACTAAGCAGTATTTCAATCAAAGAAGAGTATGGCTTAATTCTTCAGGTTGCCTTTTCCAAAGGTAACAACTGTGCTATTAGCAACTTAGAAATACATCTAAAGCAGAGCAGACTAGCACACCATAAGAAGACACAGGAAGATGTCTGAGTGTCTGTAGAACAAATTACTTTAAGCACACCCAATGCTCTTGCTCTGCAGTGGTAGGGAAGAAAACAGGAAGTAAGATACACAGGAATAATTGTGTTAATAATTCACCTGCTAAGCCCATTTGTGAGTGGGAGAAGAAATTCTTTGGCTGCAAGTGTTGTATTGTGGTAAAGTTTCTAGAAAGACAATATTGCATAAAATGATTCTGCAATTACAAGGGAATTAGAAAAGTATGTTCAAAAGTAATCAGTAAACTCAGTAAGAATTGAGTGGAATTTCAACTGGTGAAATATTCTTTCTGTACAGCTTTGCACAGTGCATTTCAAGAACATATCTGGATGTTCCTTCAGTTGACAGAGAAGGAAAACTTTTGTAACACTTAGTGTAATTGCCCTTTTATGAAATATTGAAGTTCTTCCTAAAAGGCTACAAATATATAATACACTTGTAGTAAGTTAAAGGCTCAACCTTAAAATGAAAAGGCTTAGTAAAAAACAGATTGAAAGTTACTGCAGCAAACCAAAGTCACTACAATTACACTTAAATTTTTTTTATTACTTTTAAAGACAATCAGCAGTATTAACAGGCACACAGACACAAACACAAATAAAATACAGCAAGAGCTTTCTTTGTATATTATTCAATAAAGTAGCACTGCAACAAACATTGATTTCATGCGTAAACGCGGAGAGGATTTTAAACTCTGCATATGGCACTTATTTCAGCTTTTGTACAGCCCCATTTGCAACAAATTCCTGCCAACCCCAGAGAGTCACGTTTTCTTCTGGGATACTTGGCCCAAAGGTAATTGTTTGACCCCATGGGGTTTGCAATTCCTGTTCCCCCCCTCTCCTTCTTAACAGCCTCCTCTACCTTTCGAACAAGTTCTTTAAAGTCATCTGCCCCAGGTACATACTCATTATTGTCATTCAAATTATACAAGTCATTAATCATCTCCCATCCAAAAGATTGGCTGCTTCTCCGTGGCTGCTCCACTTCAGGACCCGAAACTGACTGCAGCTTCAAGTTTCCCAGTAGTTTGTTACTTGCTGTTCTCACAGAATCTGTTTAAAGAGAAGATTATTTTTTTCAGTTCAGACTGTAGGAGTACCAAAAGGAGCATGTAGCCCTAAAACAGCAATAAAACCCCTTCCATTAATAACAAGCAAAGTACTGTTATCTAGGACACTTGTCAGGATTGCAGAGTCTCCACTCCATGATTTACTTACAGCTTACTTTTATGGGAATCTTACATTTTAAAGACTATGCTGCCTGGTAGACACAGAGAGTGCACAGCTAGAGCCATGCATGAGGTACAATTATCTTTTCAACTTCAGTGTTACTGACTAGAAGTCTCAATACTTCTATAGAAGCTAATTTTTTTGGTAAAGACCTGTGCCCAGAAACCACACAGTACTATGTCATGTGGCCCATAAATTAGATTAGACCACTCCTGTACCATGTACAACTGCACAAACTTGCATCATATGAAGAACAGATGTAGGGAGGACTAAATATTGGATGAAGTATGTAAACTGCTTCTTATAGATTGTGTTTTTCCATAGCTATTTTCAGCCTATGCTTTCCACTCATTCATTTATCAAGGGCAGAGGCTTGCAGAATTTACTCAGAAACACACTTTGTCTCACTGACTGAAGTGTTCTCAAAAATCCAGCTCTACTTCCTTTCACTTCATACTGTTTCTCTTGGCCTTACTTCTGCAATGCAAGCGGCATTGCTTACTTCAGCCAATACGAAGAAAAGCAGCTCTTTCATTTAAGTGAAAAAGAAAATCCAAAGTGTTTGTCTTGTGGTCTTAACACTGTCAGTATGTTTTTTTTTTGTTTCAGAAAGCTAAAAGAATATGAGAACACCCAGAGAATGTTATATTTACATTAATGCTACTAATTAATATGTGGAAGCTAACTTTCAGATAGAATAGCTGCCTGAATATGTACAAAAAAAGTGGCTGTAGCTTCTTTACCAGTTAGATGGTAACTGCTATTTAGTAATCTTTTGGGGCAGGGATGACTTAGACAGCATGCAGCACAGTGCAGGCTCCTTACTGACTGCTGCTCTCAGAAGCTACTGTTAATAAGAACAAAGTTCGCTGGGAAAGAACACAACCTCAGTAGAGGCTGCATATATGTAACTTGTAATTACAAAGGTAAATTTTATCTTTTACTCCACTGGAAAAAGAAAAAAACAAATGCAAAACCAAACAAACAAAAAACCAAACAAACAAAAACCCAAAACCCAAGTAAAACATTCCCAAGACACCCAAAATGCTGGCTGCATTAACTGTCTGAGGTCCAGTGTTATTTCATTAACACTATACTCAAGTAGGAAAAAAGCTCTTCTGTGGCGCAGTTTAGCCACAGTTCCAGTTTTCTTAAAAATGTTATAGTCACTATTCAAAATATCAGTATCAATGAGGTTTAAAATTACCCTGTTACACTCTGTAATTTCAGAACACTGCCCAAACCCCATCTGCTTACATTTTCTTAATATATTTGACTTGGACCATGAGACTGTGAAGTTACCTGAGGCACATTTTACCCATTATCTGTTCCACCACAGATTCCTGAAGCAGTTCTTGCCGTTTAAACTGAAGCACTAGAGTCCTATCCACCCTCCAACGTGCCAACTCTTCTGTACAGAGCAGCACAAGTGACAGGTAAAAGCACAGGACCCCACGTCCAGCAGCGCCCCTCGCACACCTCTGGAGGGCGAGGCGCACCGCTTACAGCTCCTGCCAGGGAGGGGAGATCGAGACAGGTCTCCCCGGACCGGAGAGTTACAAGCTTCGGTAAGGGAGCGAAGCCACAGCGAGAAGCACTCCCTACCGCTTCCTGGGGCGCATCACACTTACCTACATGTGCTATCTATTGCGTGCGTTTGGCTTTTTTAAGTAAAGAGCGCCCAGGGAGACTCTGCCGCCGGCAGGGGTGCTCATCCCCGTGCACAGCGAGGTCCTTGAACAGACCCAAACTTCGCGAGTTATCCCAACTAATACCACACCAGTGAGTGCCCTGTCTCCTCCTCTACATCTGGGGGCTCCTTTCCTAAGTCGCGGGAACCGCCGAGCAGCGCCGGGAGCGGGAGCGCCGAGGACGCTCCGACCGCGGCTGGGGCGGGAGGAGCGCGGAGCGCCCCGAGGCGCTAGCCTTTGTCCGCTCTGTCCCATTGTCCCGTGCCTCCTCACGGAGCCTCCCCCGACCGAGGAGCCCCGAGAGCTACCTCTGTCCGAGGGGCTGCCGCGCCGCCGTCCGCCTGTCGCGGCCGCTAACCTCGCCCTGCCCGCTCCTCGGATACTCACCGGCCGCGGCCGTCGGCTCCATGGCCAGCGCGGAGAGGCGCTTCCAGCGGGACCCGCCGCAGGTGAAGATGACGGCGCGGATGAACTCCCTTCCGCACAGCTTCATCCCGTACCCATCGCCCTCGCCCGCAGGGGGCACGGCGGGCGCCGCGCCCCGAGCGCGGTGCGGACCCGGTGCCGCGGCGCAGAGCAGCGCCGCCACAGCGCACAGCAGCTGCAGCTTGGCCCGCATGGCTCCGCTCCCTGCCCTGCCTGCTCGCCCAGCGCCCGCGGCCTCGCGCCTAACAGCTGCCTTCCCCGCGTGCCGGGCGCGCTGCTGCTGCCAGCCCGCCTCCCGCCTTTTATAGGCTGAGGGAGGCGCTGAGTCACCGCCCGGCCCGGCCCGGCCCCGCCGCACCGGCGCCCCCGCCCTCGCCCCGCTCCCGCCGGGCGGGACTTGCGCTCGGAACCGGCCTGGGGTCGGCCCCCGGCAGGTCCCGTGGCGCCGCCGACGCGCTGCGTGCTGCCGCGGCGGAGCTGAGCCTCGCCCGCAGCCTCCCGGCTCGGAGCGGCTCTGTCCGGGACGTGCTTCATCCCCGGCGCTCCGGCTCCGTCCCGGGTTTACTCTTCTGTGGTCAAGTACCAGTTGCCGGTGCCCTCCCCAATGGCCCTTAAAATGGGAAAAACTCGTGCTCATCAGTGTTTTCCCTATGCAGAACCTGCACAACTACTCCTACATCCAGCTTCCTTGAAGCAAAAAGACAGGGCAAGTAAAGTGACATAAACTCTCTTCCACTGTTTAAGCTGTGGACGGCTGAGGTGGGATTTAAAAAGCCTGAATTCCTCTTAGGCTTGTCGCTCTCGAGACCCATGCTCAGTGGCACACGTGCTGGGTTGTGGAGCACCACGCCTGTATGTTTTATCAGTAGCCCCCAGCAGGCGCTCACGGACAAGGGTGGCATTCGTCAGTCTCACCAAACAGCTGTGCTGCCTCCCAAAGAATACTTTGGCTGTGTTTCGGTTTGGCTTTGTTTGGCTTTTTTTTCAGCACAACAGGACAAGAACCGGCTGCTCTCCTCTTTCATAAACTGTCGGACCATGAAAACCAGGGAAGTTCATCTACCTAAAAATTCAGTGAAGCTCATGTCTGTACATCCTTCTGCATGAGGGCTGTGCTTTCCATCTCCTGAGTACTGTCAGTGTCTGCCCTCAAAACCCAGTCTAGAGGGAGAGCACAAAGAAGACACGAGTCCACAACCGAGTGATTTGCCTAAGTGGGCAGAGAAGATGTAGACTCCGGTTACTTTCTTAAGGAGGACTTGGGTGTTTAACACTGAGCTGAATCTAGAAACAAGCCATGGAGGGCTAAAATAGTGAGCAACTTGCAAAGCTGTTTACGCTTGGGCTTTCTTTTTGGTCCGGTCTTACATGTTTCAGGCAGTGGTATCACTTCAACAGTAGACAGTGATAGTAACCATCACCCAGGCTGTCAGTAGTCCTCAGAAGTGCGTGCTGCTAATCTGAAATTCCTGAAGAACAAAACCTCGATCTGCTTCTCCCTCAGCTGAAGTTTTAACTGGTGCTCTGTTACAGACAAGCTGTTCAGGGTTAACCACAACTTGCAGTTTTAATGAGAGCAGCTGCTTGATCTTGGTGTCATGGGCTTTTTCTGAAAACACCCATCACATCAGGTGAACCTACTCATGGACTGCAAGTAGTCTTCTAGGCAAGAGAATTGTTTCCAGTGGTGCGAGGTCTCTAGTCATGTGTGAGAACACTACCAGGACTTTCAGGGCAAAGGAAGCTGGTTCCTGAGTCAGGGAGTGACTGATCTGGTGAGTTACCTAGGTTGTAAACTAATATAATTTATTTCGTACTCTCCTTTGGTGCCAATGCCCAATATTGGATCCAGTCTTTGAAAGTAGCAAAATGTTGGATATGTCCTTCTCAGAGTTTTTACCAGAGATTTTAGAGAGGTCCCCAGGTAGGAAGATGATTTGTCAGTCTAGCAGGGAAACTCTTGACTATCCTCATGCTTTAGTTTCAATTTTAACTGGATCACCAGTTACTGTGGCATCACATCTAACTCTCCCTAAGCAAAGACAGACATTATGATGGCCACCTTTAGGGCTTTTTTATAAGATCCTGATTTTTCAGCTGTCGGAAGCACATAACTTCTGACTACAGCTGCTAAATACAAGCCGTTAAGACACTGGAAAACAAATAGTTCAAACTGTTTTTTCTGGCCTCCCCTGCTTCTTCATCAGGGCTACTGAATGTGGAAGACAAGACTTCCTGTGATGCCCATTATGCTTGTCAGTAGCTGATAGAGCACAAGTTGTCAAAGAGGCCTCAGAGGGAATCCCTTCTCAAGACATTTCTCATTCCTCAGGGAAGCCCACAACGCAGCACTCTTCATCACTCTTCTTGCTGAAAAGCATCAGCTATGAATGCTACATTGATATAAGACTGCAGCAACAGGCAGTGAGTTTATGAGTTTTATTAACGATCATATCTGAATGAGCTGGCAGTAGCTTGACATTGCTTAATGTTACTATGCTTAATGCGGTTTCACTAGTAGGGTGTATTGCTCAGTATTTTTTCTTCAGCTGTATTTTAGTAACACTGCCTTTGCATCTAGGGCTTTCAACTACATCTACTGTGATATGTCATAAAGAAACTATGTCGGTCATATAACTTTAAATCATACAAGGCATTATACAGAAAAGCCTAAGTGTCAATCTCTCGGTAATTTGCGGTGAATTTAAATCAAGCCACAGGCTAGGTTTGTTTATCTGTTCCTCATAGCTAGAAAAAATACTTCTATAAAAAAATGCATGCAGAAGAAAATAATTTAAATACTTTTAAATTATACTTCTAAACAATTTAATTACTTTTAAATAATTCAAAGTAAACGTACACCTTTTACTCTTTGTATTATAAAAAACAGACAACAGCAGAGCAAAGAAATGAAATTTCATTTATCATCTGTAGGATCTTCCAGTATGGTGTGGTGTTTCTCAGGGGTCAGTGTTGGGACTGGCACATTCAACATCTTTGTCGGCGACATGGACAATGGGATTGATGCACCGTCAGCAGGTTTGCCAAAGACACCAAGGTGTGTGGTGTGTTTGACACACTGGAGGGAAGGGATGTCATCCAGAGGGACCTGGACAAGCTGAAGAGGTGGGACAGTGCAAACCTCATGAAGTTCAACAAGGCCAAGTGCAAGGTCCTGCACTAGGGTCAGGGCAATCCCATGCACAACTACAGGTTGGGCAGAGTCTGGATTGAGAGCAGCCCTGAGGAGAAGGACTTGGGAGTGTTGATTGATGGGAAGCTCAACATGACCCCGCAGTGTGCGCTCACAGCTCAGGAACCAACTGTGTGCTGGGCTGCATCAAGAGGAGCGTGACCAGCAGGTCGATGGAGGTGATCCTGCCCCTCTGCTCTGCTCTTGTGAGACCCCACCTGCAGTGCTGCATGCAGCTCTGGGGCGCCCAACACAAGAGGGACGTGGACCTGCTTGAGTGATTCTAGAGGAGGCCACAAAGGTGATCCAAGGGCTGGAGCACCTCTGCTATGGAGACAGGCTGAGAGAATTGGGCTTGTTCAGCCTGGAGAAGGCTCTGGGGAGACCCTGAAGCAGCTTCCAGTGCCTAAAGGGGCCTATGAGAAATGTGAAGAGGGTCTTTTTAAAAGGGCCTGTAGTGACAGCACAAGGGGGAATGGCTTTAAACTGAAGGATGAGAGATTTAGATTAGATAGGAGGCAGAAATTCTTTACTATGAAGATGGTGAGACACTGGCACAGGTTACCCTGAGAAGCTGGGGCTGCCCCATCCTTGGCAGTGTTCAAGGCCAGGTTGGATGGCGCTTTGAGCAGCCTAGTCTAGCGGAAAGTGTCCCTGCCCATGGCAGGAAGGCTGGAACTAGGCGATAGCTAAGGTCCTTTCCAACCCAAACCATTCTGTGATTCTATGGGTACATCCATAGTACTGTCTCAAGGTAAGTATTTCAAAGTTTTTAGTTTCCTAAAATAAGGCAAGAATGACTGTAAAGATGATTCTCCCCCTTGCACTTAATTTTGCATCTGTTGGCCAATAGCAGTGAAAGTTTATAGAAAGTACAAGATGTTTCATGAAAACAGGTGGCTAAGTAGATACCCTTTAACAGCAACTTGATAGCCTTGAATTCCTTCAATGAAAGGCTTACTCACACGTTAAATGTCAGACAATCTACAAGGAAGATCAGACGTAGAACAGAAATGAACAGACTTGTCTTTTTTTTTCTCAAAGACTTCATTTCAAATTCATGCAATTCACTGCTGCAAGAACGATTTAGTTTTTAAAAGCTTCCCAAACATGAATTTAAAATATTTCTTAAGTTTGTATTGTACCAGACAGGATTCTGCAAGAAATGTGAAATACCATTTCATGTATGCAGTTGGTGACCAACTACCAATGTTATCCGACTATCTGCTTCACATGACAATGGGTTTTAGGAAGCAATTCAACTTCAGAAAGTTTATAAATAAAAAAATGAAGAAATCCTAGTATTTTTACATAATGAATTCCAAGACTGGTTAAGCAATTAAATAATAATGCAGAAATAATCTTGTTGGAACTACATGATCCTAAGGTCCTTTCCAACCCTACCCATTGATTCCGTAATGCTATGTCCAGATGAGTGCTTTCCTCTTCTACTTTTAAAAGCAGTGATATGCAGTCATTAAGTAACTTCAAAACATTTAAGCAGGGTCTGTTAATATCCAGCTTTCCCTACTGTAATTGAATGGTTCAGAAAAGTTATATAATTCAGCCAAGGAATGAAGGAAGGACCCAAATTGGATCCCCCCCCCCTCCCCTCCCCCGCCAAAAGAGACCTTTCTTGTTTCTCAACAACACTCATGTATCCTATCAAAACCAGATTAACAAGAGAGGTGTGGGATGGGCAGCTGTGGTTCACAAGTAGCATGCACTTTCTTGGATTCAGTAAGACATATCCATAACAAGAACACAGAGAGATTAATTCTGACATCTTCATCATGACTTCTCACTTTCCTGGAAGAGTCCTGCTCTGACTTGACACTGATTCAGGATACATGGCTATCAGATACTACGACCAGAAAACCCAACAGGATTATGATGGCAAGAGTAGTGCCCTCAGGTCAAAACAAGTTTCCCCTGCAGTTATTCTCCATCTCTTCCCCCATGATTCATAAAAACAAAGACAGTAAGTCTTAGAGCTGAAGCCAGTTAGGCTTCAATGA